ACTTGGTTGAAAGGACAAAATGTCTCTTTTTATCATTTGTGTTGTGACTCCTGATCTAACCTGGCTTTTAATGCAGAGGGAGCCGGTCGGATTTCTCGCTCGTCCAGTAGTGTTTTTGTTGTGTGCCGTCACAGACTGTCCGGGCGCTGCACTTCCGCACTTCCAAGTTCCGCCCTTTGCGCTCCGTCAACATTACGTTATAAATTAAATATTTAGAAAATCGATGTTTGACATTTGTGAATCGATTCAGAATCATTCACATCCGCATCGCGATGCATCTAAGAATCGATTTTTTCCCGCACCCCTATTGTAAACCGTAGTAAAAGGTATGGACATTTTCATGGTAAGTTTTTATATAGATGCAGGCACAACCATTATAACCCAACACCAACACATTGGAACAAGTTCAAAGCCTCGACGTTTTAAAAAGAATACAGGATAGACATCTGCAAAGTCATTCAGCTAAGTCAAGAGGTTCAAAGGTCATGTGCATGACCTTTAAACCTGCTGTTCTACTTTCTGTCCAAAATTCCATCTCCTTCTTGTTCCATCCATCCCTGGGTGTATCTGTTGTGTGTGTGTTTGCATGTGTTTTCAGGCTTTTCCTGCCGCCAGTACACCGGTCATACGATACTGATTTATTGTCGCTGTCGCCATGGCTACCCCAGATTGGATAAGGAAAACCATCAGAGCTTTGCTCCGTTCAGGAATGACTGGCGGGCTGAGGGTACTGGGGCCGGACAGCAGATGGTGAGTCATTGGTATTGGTTATTACAGCTAATAAAACAACCACAGCAACCACACGTAAATACTTTTGTCCTTGCTGCAAATGAGCCATTTATGGATGCTAATACACTCTTACAATCTGCCTCTGTGTCAATAGTAAATGTAATGCCATGCCTTTCTCAACTGCTTAACCCTCCAAGGCTATGTTCACACAGCAGATAAAAGAGCTAATGAGAAGCTCCAAGTTTGAGCTCGCTGTAAAAAACGCATGTTATTCGACCACGGCCACTTTTTTGGTTTGCGGCCTTGCCTCCTTTAGACTTTGCTTTCAGACCTTCAGACAGCAGCCTCATTCTCCTACGGCCATGTTCATCCAATTCTTTCAAAATCTCTTCTAACACAGAACGGTTTAGATAAGTGTCTTCTGACTTTGTTTGTACAGAAACATCAACCCAAATGTTTATGAGGTCTCAGCAGCACAAAATTAAGACGAATGTCAAGTTGTACTGAAGTAAAAGTCAAATGAGCTGTTCAGACTGAGTCGCATTGCAGCATATCAGACACGTATCAGATTTCAGTACCCGTGTCCCAAATTGAACATGTCAGATTCTGTGTGTTTTTTGCTATTCACACTGCCACACAGTTAACACATCTGTGTCACATATGAAGAAAGGGATCAGATTTGGGCCACTTTTACCTGCTGTGTGAACTAAGACCAATTTACTTAAGTGAAACGTCTCTTACATTTTGCTTAATTATTTCTCAATTGTAGCTCATTGAAACAAGCAGAGAATTCTGTCAGATATGCAGATTTTAAGCTTGTCATTGATATTGCTTTTGTGTTTTGTATGTAAAATAGGAGACATCAGTATAGGGGGCCATTATAATGCTCTTGCAGTGCCCTTATATAGCTTTATCAAGCCTGTAGCTAGTAAGTAACTGCCCTCTTAAGCAGTAACTAGGGTGAATTAAGCATTTTTATTTAAGCAACTTGGTTCTGTTATTATAATTTAGTGTATGTTCATGATGGAATATGTAAATTTTTATACAAGCTTAATAATTTTTCAATAGTAAATCAATAGTAAACCACTCAGTGCTCTGCAAACTGCAGCTAGTAAATTATCATCAACTTGCATAAGTCTTAGTAAGGGCATTACTACAGCATTATAATGGGTGTCTATATTGAAGTGTTTTATTGTGATTTGAATATGATAAAGTTATCACGGTGAGCACAGTTCTGGCTTGCAGAAAGAAAGACTGACCTGTGGAATACTTACTATCCTGTATTTTTTATGCTTTTTGTCTTTTTTATATTCTTCTTGTAAAAAAAATGCTTTCAGTTGTTCAAAGAAATCTACAGGAATATTTTTCTACACCACCAAAGCTCAGTCTTAGAAGTTGGCTGCACTTTCTGCTTCTCATAATTCAAATAATCTTAATTACAAATTTAGACTTATTAGTCCATAAAACCTTATTCCATATCGCAGATGCCCAAGAGTGGAGCTTAATCATCTCTGATTCCTCACAGATGCTTTAAGTACTGTTTATTTGATGGGGACAGAACAGCCTCAGAACAGCACTAATTACGCTGCATAAGGCTGTAATAATGTACTGCATTATTTATTCGAAGTACTCAGTGATTACATTTTAAATGTTCATGATGTATTGTTAATATGTTTTGTAGGTGCATTATAACTATGGACAAGTCATTATTCACTTAAAATGGACAAGACATACTGAACATTGACACTTGTATTACTGCATGTTTATGAATTACCAAAGAATTAATTACAGTTCATAATTAGAGGCTTATGAATCATCATTAGAGCTAGAGATATATTTGCTAACAAAGCATTATTACCACTTTGTAAAGAGGCATATGGGCTTCATAGTGTTACTGTCATTGTATATTCTATCCAAACATTCAATTGCTACCTTATTTGTGTTCAGAAGGAGAACTGAAGATATTCTATTATGATTTGAATTTAATTAAGAGTTTTTATTGTGTCTGCCATTTTGCTTTGCGTGAAGAAAAAATGGGCTGCCATGATTTTATCATTTCTTGGCAGACAAAAGTGCAGGCTCAAACCTGTCGATGTAGAATGTCGATGTAATTAATTACAGGTCGAACTATGCAATTAAGTAATAATTTGATTACGTTTAAGAGCACAGTAAAATGACAACAACTCTTCACTGTTAAGGGTTAAAAAACCAATGTGTTCAACGTTATATAAAGTGTGTCAGATGCTGACGACAGACACCTGGACGCGTAAGATCCGCGTAGTATCAACAAAAAAACTGATTTTGCATGTAAGCAATGAGAATGCATTTTGCAAAACATATTGCACTAACAGAATTTGTATGAGTACTTTAAAATGTAGGCAAAGTTTTTGACCACAGCAACTGAGGATAAAAAAACTGGGCTGCAATGCCATGATTTTTATACATATATAGAGTGTTCTGTACGCTAAAGGTAGATCTTAAGAACTCAGGGTTGTTGCACAGTTTTAAACAACTTTTTTTTATTCCAAGTGATAAAAACATGGACATATGCTTTGAGACAGCTTTATCCTTGCACGGTCCTCTCAGTGTGTTTGACTTGTCAGTTTTGCCCTTCATCAGTGACCAGTATCTGTCCGCCAAAGCTATCCAGCTGTTGGCCTGACAGTTTTGGTTGATGAACTGTTCTGAATTGTAAGAATTTTTTTTTCTTTGTGCTGTAAAGTTATTTTTAAAGATGTTTTTCTTTGGACAGCAATGACATAAAACAACCTGTTCCAAGAATTTAGTTAGGGATGACTGCCCTCCCACTAATCCAATCTTTATATATTTATAGACAATATAGCTGCACAAATGAGGTAATATATGTGGCAAATTATGGTTAAATGAATATGTTCTGGTCTGATATGTTTAGATTTTTCAAAATTATCACTTTCTAGTATGTTTAATATTTCCTTCCTCCCTGATGATGTGACTACCAGTTAATCTAATATGCAGTAAAATCTTACATATGTGCATCGTGATACTCTCTAAAATATGTATATATGTATGGTTTAATACAAAATAACCACTTTATATACTGTCACAAATTCACTATGCCTTCATATTTCTGCAACGCATGCTCATTAGCTGCTCCTTCCTTTCTTTTTTTTCCTGCTACTGCTGTTTTAAAGCCAGAAGTAGAATGTTTCCGTGATAGCTTCATTTTCAATCGGTCACAACTCGCAAGAGAAAACCGCAGAGGGAGTGTGTTTTGTACATGGTTTTTGGCAGAATGTCACTCATGACAAATGGCAGAAAACAGACCAGAACAGCCTCACACTCACATTTTACGTGCCCGTGTTTAGAAGAAAGGGTAGTAGTTCAAACAGAGTAGAAATTACAAGTTCTTATTTTCCACATTCATGTAAGCCCAGATGGTAAACAGTTAAACTCCTTTGTTACATGGTGAAAAAGCTCCTCTACTGCAGAATGTGGAATAACGTCAGTTTATGGAACCTTCATGTAGTGCTGGTCTCATACAGAAACAGAGCTAAGATTAACGGTCTCTGCCTTGTCTTGGTCTTAACATTATTTCTACTCGTTTTTGTCTTGGTCTCTGTGTAAAGGTGGTCCACCGCGTCCAGTGCCTCTGCCTGAGGTAACCGGAAATTTCTCTACATTTTTAAATGAAATTTATTCACTACTAAATGAGGATCTAATTGATCTTTCTGTGATGGCTTAACTGGGTATTATTGGTTTGTTGATGCTCATTTAAGATTCAAACATCTCCTGAGGGCAGATCAGGATGTTGATATTATAAAAATGAATGTTGTTTGGTTTAGAGATGAAGGCACAGAGAATAACCTCACACTCATTTGCTTCCAAAACTTACAAAGCGATGTTGGACTAAAACTATAATACAATAATATTCTATAATATTTTAGGTTATATATTATTTAGTGTTATATTTTAAAAAATATAATATTACTGATTAATATACATCATGAATAATATATAATGAATGAAAGTGAATGTACAATGAACTTCAAACAAAGTTCAGCCTTTTCCCCTTAAACAGAGCGCAAAGAATTGGAACTGGATCGGGCTTATTTTGGCAGACACCTGATCCGTTAAAAAGCACGGGGATCAGACATCCATAAATTTAAGACCTTTTCAGACATTTTATAACCTGAAATTTTTCAAATCTTTTTTTTTTTGGCTTTATAAAACTTTTTTAGGGAGCACCTCTTGTAAACTTTATAGAAAAACATGCTGTCTCACTGTGTACTTACTGTATGGCACACACTCATACTGAACTTCCAGATACTTGTATGTTCCAGGACAAGGATCAGGAAAAACATCTGGACCTGCGACCACTGCACACTGCGTCCTGTTATTACATCTGATAGAGAGAGAGAGTGAGAGAAAGAGAGTGAGAGATTGCACTTTCTGCTTCATTGCAAGAAATTCAAATTGACTCAGCTCCCCCCACCGCTAAATATGTATCATCATACCAACGTCTGAGAGTGGCCGATCCTACTGACCCCCACAACTTTAAAATGACATATATCTCATTGGTTTGTTATTTATTGTAATGCTTCTGCTAGTAAAATTTATATTTTGTTGTACTGTTGTAAAATTGTTACCACTACAATTTTTCTTTGCTGCTGGTGTCATTTCTTGTTGTAACTGCTGTTGTATGTGTCATTACTGTTGTTTTTTTGGTCAATATTGTTGTTATTGTTCTAATGCTTTGGCAATATTGTAGTCAATACAGTCACGCCAATAAAGCTGTCCTGAATTGAACTGAACAAAGAGCGAGACAGAGAGTGAGAGCAAGCGAGTGGGTGAGTGAGAGAGAGAGAAAGAGAGAGAGAGAGAGAGAGAGAGAGAGAGAGAGGTTGATAGAAGAATAGGAAGTGGGAGAAAGATGTGGTTGGGGAAAGAGGCACATCAAGGGGGACAGAGAAAACAGGAAAGAAGAAGCTGGATAAAGGGACAGAGATAAAGAGAAAAAAGAGAGGTGGATAGATGGAGAGAAAGCATGAGTGAGTCAGGTGGATGGGAAGAGAGGTGGAAAGAGAGGGACAAAAATGAGATGGAAAGACAAAGGGAGATTGGTGGATAAAAAGATTGAAAGAGAGAGAGACAGAGATGGGTGGAGAGATATGGTTTAGGGAGAGAGGGGGATTAAGCGAAGAGAAAGATGGATAGAGGGAGAAAGAGAGGGAAAAAGAGACTGGGGTAGAGAGAAAGAAACAGACAGAGGGAGAGATTGAGAGAGAGAGAGACAACCTGGTACACTGACATACATTAAGATTAAGATTATTCTTTTCTTCTCCATATAAATTCTAAACAATAAAATACATTATATGTACATAGTACGTAAAGTATATGTAATATAAAATACATTTTAGTAAATAAAAACTGTCTGTGTCCAAGGGAGAGACAGAGACTTAGAGAGGCACCCAGAGAAAGAGAGACAGAGAGAGAGGGTGAGAGAAAGGTAAAGAGATAGATAAAGAGTCGGAGAGAGAAAGAGAAAGAAAAAGAGAGAAAGTTAGAGAGGGAGAGAGAGAGTTAGGGAGAGAGAGGGTGAGAGACAGAGAAAGAGACAGACAGATAAAGAGAGAGAGAAAGTGAGGGTGAGCTAGAGATAGGCACAGAGAGAGAACAGGAGAGAAAGATGGACAGACATAGAGAGAGAGAGAAAGAACAAGACAGATATAAGAAATCCTGGCTGCCTAAAGAGCAGAGACTGTGCCCGCAGTGCAACAGCAATACAGCGGAGTTGCACACACACACACACACACACACACACACACACACAAAACTGCTCTGTTTACCTGTTTCTTGGTACTGCTTTATATTTTATTATTATTATTGTTATTATTATTATTATTGTCCCTAATGAAACTGAAACATCTTAAATCTCTGAATGCTGTAAATGTTTCATCTGTGTCTAAATATGCCAACAAGGCTTACTGAGCTGAACTGACAGAAACAGAGAGAGAAAGAAAGAGAGTTAAAACCAGAAGCAGAGAAAGAGAGAACGAGAGATTTAGAGAGGCAGCTGAGGCTTGTGTGTGAGAGAACCAGGAGCAGAAAGACGCAGCACAAAGTCATGAAACTGCAACACACAAACACAAACACACAAATATGGAGTGAAAAAAATTCTCGCACACACACACAGAGGAATCTAAGACGACTTAACGCTCAGCTCTCTCTCTCTCTCTTCTCTCTCTCTCTCTCTCTCTTTTCCCCCAAGTTACCATGGAAACCTCCCAGTCCGAATCCAGAGGGGTGCATCAAAATGCACAAACACACATACACACACACACACACACACACACACACCAGTTTTCCAGCTACATTTCACAGCATCAGTGTGACAGAGAGACAGCAGACAGCTGCCTGAGAAACACACAACTTCAGACTGTGTGTGTTTACGCATGTGTGTGTGTGTGTGTGTGTGTGAGGAACGGTGTAGATATGTGTGTGTGTCATACTACTGCACTAATTGCTGTGTTGAGCGAGTGTGACAGTCATACTCCCAGAGTGCCGTAGGGCATCTCTGGTTTCCGGGGCGACGGCTCTCATGTGGCTGTGAGCAACATTCAGATATGACCTAATTTAGAGAGAGAGAGAGAGAGAGAGAGAGAGAGAGAGAGAGAGAGAGAGAGAGAGGGTGAGAGAGGGAAAGAGAGAGAGAGAGAGAGAGAGAGAGAGAGAGAGAGAGAGAGGGAAAGAGAATTATTATTTGCTCTGTAGAGACAGGTAGTCACGTCTCCTGGAAGGTGCTCTACTCCCTTAAACTCTTATCACCCCCCCCCCAACACTCACACACACACACACACACAGATGTGATGTGTCATAATACTTGTGTATATATATATATATATAGGTAAACACCTATGTGTATATATATATATATATATATATATAATACTGCATTACAATAAATTCAAATCTACATACAGTAAACGTAACTACTGAATGAAAAAAGCATTTTACAGCTAAACAAAGTTACATTCCAGATTTTTCCTTGATCCCCAACCATTACAATGAATAATTAAATTCCATCGCTAGCATTACTGATTAGCCAAACCAAGTTTTTACAAATAATAAAAATTACAAATAATACCGGGCTGCCACAGGGAGAGGTTTAGAAAAGATGATATAAATAATCACTTTGACATACATAAAATAACTACTTATTATTTTAATGTTATTGGTCTTTAATATTTGTGTTTTTCTGAGCAAATAAACACTCACTGTGCAGATAAATTAGATACCCATATATAGTAATATGTCCCATATGTTTTATATGTGTAAGTAAGTACTTACACTGTAAAAAAAAATGTTTGTCAGTTCAGCCTAAACATTTCTTCATGTGGTAACAAGTAATTAAATTACATTTATTAACTTAAATAAATAATTAAAATGAACCAGAAATATTTTAAGTGCATATATGTAATAATATTGTCTCATATGTATTCTATATACCCATATGTAATAAAATGTTTGATATATCTAAGTATTTATGTATAATAATATAGTCATAATAAAATGACCCATATGTATTATATATATCATTACTGTCCAAAGAAAAACATGTATCTCCATTTTCTCCTATTTTTATATTTCTGCATCATTTGAGCAAAGCAGCTGTCCTTTACATCATACAAAATTAGTTATGAATGGAGTAATAGAAAAAGTCCAAAATTATTAGGGAAAAAAATCTCATAAACTTCACTGACCTTAAAAGGAAAGAACGTTTTCGACTTCTCCTGCAGAGTTAATTTTTTTGGTAGCTATATGTAATAGTAATATGTCCAATATGTATAAATTTCTGAATGTAGTGCTAACATGTCTCATATGTATTACATTAATATTAATGTCTCATATTTTATATATGCAAACATTTAAATATAATAGTAGTTACAGTAGGTATGAAATGTATGTAAGTATCTATAGGTAATTATATGTCTTGTATGTATTCCACATAAGTATCCATACAAAATGTGTCGCATATATGTATTATATTTTTGTTAGTAGTCATGTGTAATAGTAACATGTCACATATACAATCTTGCATAAATTTAATGCATATGTAATAATAACTTTCTAAGCCTAACCCCAAACCTAACCTTAACCCTAACCTCTGTAACCAAAAAAAAATTAGGATTTAACTTTTCAGTTTTACACAATGAAACATGTTGCTTATATGAACAAATATTATTATCAAGTGAACATTTTTTCCCTTCTATTGTACGCCCTGTTTTTCTTTTTTCCTGCAAAGTCAGGATATTTAAAAATGTGCAAACACACACACACACACACACATTCAGAGATTTCAGACTCTTCAGCTTTTGGATGATGGTTTGATCAGACAGGCTGCCAAGAGGAGTCAACTGAGTGAAGTGTACGATGGTGAACTAGGGCAGTGCGTAAGTGTGTGTGCGCGTGTGAGTGTGTGTGAGCTAAAGTAATGTCTTCCCACACTGTCACCCACAGGAGAGAGAGCGCAGGTACAAACACACTGGCCTCACAGAACTTCAACTTGAATCTGAACTGATCCGATGTCTTACGATTCACAGGGACAAACAGAGGCCACACCTATCAGTCTACACACAAACGCGCACACACACACATCAGAATTAGTCATCTTTAACCAGCTGAACACTTTCAGACCTAAATTAACTACACCATCGGTTAACATTATCAGCTCTTCAGAATCGGTAGGCCCATCAGTGTCAGTGACAAAGTTCTTATATCAGTCAGCATAGCCTATATATGAGTTTCAAGGTACTTACTGAATAATCTGTAGTTTTTACCAGTGATGTATACCAACACAGTATACTGCCTTTTTCCTGGGCTGTTTCCGTATACTGACTTCCGAAGATACATTTTGCGTGCTGTTTTTCTTTTCCCTGCCTTGTTGGAATATTTTAATATTTTTATATTATACAAGTTTCACTGACCACAATGCCATCATCAATTATCACATTACCTAAGCCGCTTATACTTCTGGGTCGCGGGGGGTGCTGGAGCCTATCCCAGCAGCCAGAAGGCAGGAAACACCCTGGACAAGTCGCCAGTCCATCACATGGCAGACCCACAGACATATACAATCACACACACATTCACACCTAGGGGTTGCAAGTCTTTGGATTGTGGGAGGAAACCGGAGCAATTTGGTAATTTTATTAGCAATTTTGTAAAAGACAAACTATGGCTTCAAAATATGGACAAAATGTGCAAAAAGTATATCCACTTTTATGTTAGGACTATACTGCTGGTAGTTACAGAATAACAGGTCTTAAGATTAACTCACTGAGAAACTAGGGCTTGCTAGTTAGCCTAATATCTCTAGTCTTACGAAAAACAAAAGCTCTCCCA